GGTGCCATATGATACGGAGGAATAGAAATGGGTTGAGTGCCCGGCACCAAGTCAATACCAAAATCAATATCTCTGTCGGGTGGCATACACGACAGGTCTGCAGGAAATACATTCGGAAAGTCTCGTACTACCGGTACTGAATCAATAGTAGGGGTATCTGCATCAACATTTCTCACAAAGGCCAAATATGACAAATACCCCTTCCCCACCATACGTTGGGCCTTCAAATAAGAAATTACCCTGCTAGGAACAAAATCTAGAGAACCTCTCCATTTAACCTTTGGCAACCCCGACATCGTCAACGTCACGGTTTTTGCGTGTCAATCTAGAATAGCATGACATGGAGACAACCAATCCATACCCAAAATTACATCAAAATCAACCATACCGAGTAATAAAAGATCAACTATAATCTCCAGTTCCCCAATAGTTACCACACACGATTGATACTCACGGTTCGCAGTAATAATATCGCCCACTGACATAGATACACGAATAGGTGAAACTAAGGACTCACGAGGCATATCCAAATAACGAGCAAAATACGATGATACATATGAATAAGTGGAACCAGGGTCAAATAATATAGAAGACTCCTTGTGGCACACTGAAACAATACATGTGATCACTGCATCTGAAGAAACAAAATCTGGCCTGGTAGAAAAAGCATAGAATCAGGCCTGACCGCTACCTGATCGGCCTCCCCCTCTTAGGAGACCCCTAGCTGACTGACCCCCACCCCGAGCTAGCTGGGTGGGTGGTGAAGTAACTGGTGCTGAAGTGGTAGTTTGACTTCTCTGCTGCACTGGACCTCCCCAGCGACGAGGACATTATCTCCACATATGCCCAAATTTCCCGCACTCAAAGCAGCTCCCCGATACTGGTGGTGGTGCTGACTGAATCGGGCCCCGAGAACCAGAATAACTGCTAGAAGCACCCGGTTCAAATGAACCCTGAATTGAAGGAGCACGGGACGAACTCTGGGCTGGCAGGGCACTGAGAGATGACTGACCCTGATGAGAACTATATAAACCCTGGCTGGATGATGCACCATGGTGAACTGGATGACCCGTCTGAGCGTGTCTGTAAGGACGACTCCTACCGCGGTAAAACTGACCCCCGGGAGGAACACCGCTAAAATCACCTGGACCACAAGGCCTCTTAACCTCCTTCTCTCCACACTCTTGGCTACGGACCATCTCTATCTGCAGAGCAATGTCAACTACCTCATCAAACGTAGCACCAGATACTCTCTCCCGAGTCACAAGTAATCGTAGCTGATATATGAGGCAATCAATGAACCTCCTAATCCTCTTCTTATCAGTGGGAACCAACCAAATTGCATGACGAGCCAACTCAAAAAATCTCATCTCGTACTGTGTCACAGACATACCATCCTGACGTAACTCCTCAAACTGTCTGTGCAGCTCCTCTCTGCGAGACTGCGGCACAAACTTCTCCAAAAAGAGAACGGAGAATTCCTGCCATGTAAGTGGTACAACACCGACCGACCTGCACCTCTCATAAGTCTCCCACCATCTGAAGGCAGCTCCAGAAAACTGAAAAGTAGTGAACGAGACCCCACTGGTCTTCAAAATACCCGCTGTCCGAAACATCCGCTGACACTTATAGATGAAATACTAAATGAGGATAACCAATCAATTAAAAATTGTACAAAGTGAGGGATAGAGATAATGTGTGGATATATTTGAATTAGTTTCAGTTTATACTTTGGATGAATTCAAAATCACAATTTAGTATTAAATAAATATTATTTTGATTATATATAGTAGAATGCTAAGGAAAAAATAATTAAAATATCACAATAGAAAAATATACAAAAGGCGGATATAAATAGAGTGAGGATATCTATGCTTTGATTTGATCTTAAAATAAAATAAAGTAACTAAAGAATACTTAAAAATACTATTGATTAGTTACCAAAAAATAAATACTATTGATAAATTTAGACTATTTAAGAACAGTGATCAATTAAATTTTAAGAGTAAGAAAAATATATTTCTATTTGCATTATAAATAAAAACAAGAAAAATATATTTCTATTTGCATTATAAATAAAAACAATAAACAATAATACTAAGTCAAATGGCAAGTTAATAAAAAGTTACATCACAATGTAATAATTCTAAGTATGAATAATGTAATAATGATAAACAATGAACTAAAAAGAGGAAAAATTAAAAAAATAAATAGATTGTAAAAATATAGAAGGATAAGTCTTATTTAAATTTGAGATGAGAAAGAATTTTTTGAATTATGATAAGAAAAGTCATACATACAATGGACAACACTACGTAAATAAAATCCCAACAAATAAAGTAAAAAATATCAGAAAATAAAAAAGATTCAAGAAAACAAATAAATACTAAATAAAATATAGGAATTAAATATTTTAAAATCAAAATTTAAATTTTATGTTGCAAATGAGTTGAATTCTTATTATATATAATACAAACTTTAAATATTCAAAATATTCATAGACTTTTTAACTTGATAGTAAAGGCATTCAAATTCGTAATTTAGTATTGAATATTGATATTGTTTAAATTATAGATGAAACACTAAACGAGGATAACCAATCAATTTAAAATTGTACAAAGCGAGGGATAGAGATAATATGTGGATATTTATAATTTGAATTAGATTAAAAATAAATAAAGTAAGTTTAAAAGTAATATTGATACATTTAGACAAATGGAATAAATTCTTTAAGAATATATATATATATATATATATATATATTACAAAAAGAGCAATTGACAAAAAATAAGTCAAGTGACGAGCTAATAAAATGTTATATAGCAAATAAAAATAATATTGAATATAATAGATTATGTAATAAAGAAAAATGAAGAACTAAAAAATTATTCGATAATTGTATAGATCTTTTTCTAATTTCGTAAGATTCTTAGGTATGTTTCATTGGATAACAAGAAGGTAGTTAGAATCTAATTCAAGCAATATGATATAATGAGTTAGCTCACATAATATGATTATCAATACTAGTTTATCATATTATATCAGGTTGTGTCTTATGTTTAACTCGTTATACTTAATATGAGACTTTGAGGATATTATCGACATAGACAAAACTCTTGGGGCCATATCACATCAAAGACCAAACTTTATGGACAAACAAGTGAATTATATACTCCAGGCTCCGCTGATGAAACCCTAAACCCCCTCCTTAAAATATCACGTTGTACCCACCATTCAGCAGCAATATCCATTATTAGTTTCACTTTGCCCTCTTCTTCTTCTGTTCTTTTCTTCTTCTTTTTTATCTCTATGTAAGGAATTTGCAGTATGTTCTATGGACTAATAATTGTTGTTACCAAATGCCTCTTTGAGTAGCCATATGGACTAATTTTAGCTATTTCATATTTGGCTTAGTTAGGGGGCAAAGACTAAACTTTTTTGATGCAAAGATTCAATCTTTGGATCTTTAAAACTAAGGCCTTTTGAAGGGACACTTTGTTCTTCTTCATCAATTGTCCTATAAGCATCTTTTGAACACTCTGTTTAACCCCCTCTTCAAATCTTTTGTGTATCTATCATTGTTTTTAAATGAAATCCAAAAGGGTATATGAATTGATTGTTTTTGCCTCAAGAATTCCCGAATGAGTTATTGAAAAAGTCATTCGGTTCAGACAGGGGCATATAGTAATAGAGAAGCAAATATTTGAGCTGAAAAGTATCAAAGATTGGTTCTTTAATGAATTAGTTTGAGGGGTTTGAACTATTTCATTCCTCTCTTATGTTCCTTTTCTATAGGTTCTTTCAAACATTCAATATTTATTAATTTATTATTGACAAAGTCCTAAATTTAAAGTTCATTTCTTTGATAAAATTTGTTTTAAAACTTTTTTGTTTTGCTACATAATGAGGCAGATGATGATTTATAATTATTTGGTCTGATCAATCTGTGATGATCCAAAATTCGAGCTTTTTAAAACTGATGCCTCCAGTTACTTTAAGTATAATTGTGGTTCTTTCTTGTTCTGTATTTTACCCGTTTCAATAATTTGCTTTGCTCGTTGTAAAGCTAATTTGCAATTTAGTTGGTTTTGGTATAATCTGTGACTAAACCTGATAAAGTGGAGAAGAATTGCAGTTATTTAGCTAACACGGATTTCTCTGTCATAAAAAACTAATTTGCAATGTAATACTCTTATTATTAGTGTTGGAAAAGTTTGCAATATTTATTACCTCTACCACTTGACTGCAAGTTGCAAATAATCAGTAGTACTAATTTGTAGATCACTAGTCACTGTTTAAATAAATACTACTATCATTTATATTGAATGGTTGAATCAGTTCAATCAGTCCCTTCCTCTAGTGACTTTGATAATAACACAAGTAAAATAAAATATATATAAAACTTGTTAAACTTCTTGATTTATCAGTTTATCCTTAATAGCATAGTCTGGATTGGAATGTAATTCATCTTTAATAACAACATTCCTAATCCATAGAAGTATTCAAAATTATCTCACTGTAATACATGCATCATTTCTTATTTAGATGGTGCACCTCTAAAGTGACAATAAAATATCTACTCAATATTGTTTGAAACATCAGTTTATTTTTTATAGTGTATTGCATACTCCAAATAGAAATGTAATTTACTTTTAACAGCTATAATAATTCTCCATAGATAAATAAAAAATTCATTATCAAATATCATAATTTCTTTATTTTAAAATGCCATAGTGAAAAAGTGTTTCTTTCATTTTTTGTAGCTCACGGTTAACTGTCAGTAGTGAACCTAACTTAAAAGATGAAACTAATAATTTGCTCTAATCAATTAGAAAATATGAATAGCTTAAGAATCTTTTGTATTGTCAATACATAGTTCTTTATATGCGTAAGTCAATGCTTATCCATTGTAAATTAAGCATACGTATGTAAATTACAGTGCTTAGCAATTGCAAAAACTAACACTAGTTAGTGTGTTCCAGAACACGAACAAAGCCAAACACAAATAAAAAGCACATGAAATTCACCACAAAATATTACATTCATGTCATAGTATTGTCTTTCTTTAAATATGAGCCAAACTCCAATTTCTTCAGAATAAACAACCTTATTATAATCTCGTGGAATTTGGGAATATGCATATACAACATATATCTAATGATCCTTGTCTATATACTAGAATCTAATGAAACATAAAAGGTTCGACGAGGCTGATAAATATTCTGGAACGTTGCTTTAAAGAGCATCATAGTAACCTCCAACTGTTATGTGTGCTCTTGTAACTGGAACTCCTCTCACTGCTGCAATTGCTTCATTATTCAATTTGGTTGCATGATGAACTACTTGCTTGATCCTCTGCAATCCCAAATAAAATTTAATTAAAAAAAAGATTCTTGGATAAGATTCACCAAATATTAGTTTTAGAAAAAAAAATCAAGAATAAGAGTGTCACATGAGTTTTAATAGTGTGATTATCTAATTTAAAAGTTAATGTTGCTATAAAGAAAAAGGACAGTTCGATATACTAAGTTTTTGCTATGTACTAGATCCGAGAAAGGGTTAGACCATAATATGTAGTCTTACCCTGTTTTTATGTAAGAAGCTATTTTTAGGACGCACATCTATGTCTTGTAAGAAAGCAACAACTTTATTAGTTACGCCGCATATTACTTAATTATGTCTCATCACCTTGGGACACTGAAATTTGATAAAATGGTCATGTAATTCAACATAAAAGTCCTAGTTTCAAGTTACAACAGTCAATCTTAGCTAAAGATCTTTATTTGTGTTAAAATATGTGATCTATCTCATGGGAAAATTTAATTCTTAGAGACACGTCTTTTATTAATTAATTATATCATGTCTTAACAAAGAATATGATTTTTTAAAATAAGTGAAGACCAAACCTTGTCATTAGAAAAGATTTGAAACCGACGCTTCTGCTGATTTTGCTTATTGTTTTGGTGATTGCCCATAAAGATGATGCAAATAGTAGCAGCAGCAAAAGAGCAAATAGCACCAATTCCATTCAAACTCTTGTTCAACAGGTTTATTCCAGCACTATTGTTGTCTTCCCTATTCTCTGCTTCCATGCCAATTTTGTTGATCACCATCTCTTTATCAACCTCCAGCACTTCTGCTTGTTCCTCAAACTGAAAAGGGTCTGCATCAACTTGCGACAAAAGGGTCTTGTTATTGGACTTTGGTGAGTCTAGTTTCATGTTTTCCTTCATTTTCTTGAAGAAAACTTGTGATGAGACTTGGTCAGCTTCCATCATACTGTTGTCACAAATGTTTTTTGATGGTAATATGTTTTTGATGGTAATAACCTCATGATCATTAGTGGTTTCTTGAAAACTTGGTTCCAGCTGAATTGGAAAAGGTACTATTTGAGGATGCTCTGTTGAGTCGACAAATTGGGATGATTTTGGACAAGGGCAAATGAAATAATTCATGTTGAAATCATTGTTGGTATATTTTCTTGAAAAAACCATCTTGCCTCCATCATCATCAGGAAGAAGCTCCCAATCTTCAAGATCCATATTTTCCTTTCTAATGAAGAGATTAGTGGGTTGATATAGCTCTGAGATTCTGATTCTTTGGTTGTTGAATTATTGGAGTCAGAGAGCGTAGCTTTCATATATGCAAAACACACCCCATTTCCATTTGGGGAGTGAAGGTTCAACTTTGCCTTGATGAGGTTGTGATGGATATTTTTTCCACTAGTCTAATTATTGAATACCGACTGATTCAAATTCATATTACGTAGAGATAGCAATCCCTAATTAGATTTTTTCACCATACTTCTTGGCGTACTGAAATTATTATTACGGTCCAGAGGGACCCACGTAGAAAGAATCCTCTTTTGTTGGGCTATTGGATATTTCTTTTGATTATCATTTGGATTTTTCAAATCTTGATTTCATTACTGTAATAGTTTAATGTCACTTTGGATTAAAAAAAAACCCATAGTATGCGCCAACTTTGATCCATTCGTAGTTCTATAGTAAAAAGTCGTAGCCAAGGAGATTCATATCTAGTGTAACCCCGCTCATTTAATGGAACCTTTTTGTATTTTCTGTTCCAAATAGCAAACTCAAAGGGATTATTTTAGGATTTAACTTTTTTTTTTTTTTTTTTTTTTTTTTTTTTTTTTTTTAATTAAGAAATGAGAGAACAGTACGTACAGAAGAAAAGAAAGAAAAAAAGTATAGATTGCTTGTGGGAGTTCCCTTTGAATGAGCATTGATCGTGACATCTTCCCTTTGATATTGAAACACTACAGAAGAATCCACGATTAGGTATCTTGATTGGAAGTTTATCTGATAGCAACTAAATTATAATATAATAAAAGCCTTTAAATGTTGATAAATTTAGGACCCTACTCTAGTACATTCTATTCAATTCTATAGGCACTCTTTATAACAGTGGCATATGCACAACTTTGAACTAGTAGTATCTCGTTTATTGTTACAATTTGTCTTGTAAGAGAGTTAGAATTTTTGTGATAATTTCCAGATTTTTTATTTTATTCTAAATTAATTTACTTTGTATTATTTTCAAACGGTTTAAACTTATTGTAGACGTGCATACTATATTTAACAAAAAAAATATTATTTACAACAGTATGTAACTCAGTAAGGAGAATATTTTGTAAAATAGTATCATGAGACACTAGTAAAAGTGTCTCCGCCACTGCTTCATAAAGACTCCAAATTATGCTTCTTCCTTTTTTCTTCTCTATTTTTCTAACATTGAAATTTTTTAAAGCCAAACCCCTCGATTCGCACATGAATTTAAAGTTGCAAAAGTAAGTGAGAACGAAATTCGCAGGAAAATAAAATAAAATAAATCCTTGCAATATTTATTTGAAAGGAGAAAGAAATATTAAATCAAAAGATATTAATAGTATAGTTGGCCAATATGAAGTACTCTCTAAAGGAGAAGCTTAAACTCAACTAATGGGATATTTGCATTCAATCAGTGTGTGGAGATGCCCGAATTATATAGGATTAACCTCGACCGATTAATTCCACAAGAAAGATGGGAGTAAATTTAAATTTTTTACAACTCCCTAATTTTCAGTTCTAACGAAAATGGAAGTGCAAAAAGGAATAAATGCACATTTAGTACTATCGCGTTCAGAACGAACTAGCTAGAAATCCTTTTGTCATCATAGAACAAGCAACGAACAGGTCCAAAAGGAGATAGATTGACGCATATTTTAACTTACATATGGAATGCCAAAATAGCACTAAGTATACGTGGTCGTCAAGTAATAAAGTAGTGAGTAAAGTATGGTCCTACGGAGATTTATGATTAACTTTTGACTTGTTCAAACTCAAATAACTTATCGATTCAAGAGATTTCTCACAAAATGTGTAAGTGACTTATTTACTACCTAAGAAACTATCAAGCAATGAAATAAATCGAAATCAACCACAATACTTAAGCAATTTCAAATAAAAATCAGTAGGAGAGGATATTCCGGGGTCACAGGCTAGCTAACAATCTTATTGCGTTCTTGGGTTAAAATAACTAATTTATTTATTTGGATTGTTGATTGACAGGGTTGATATTACTCATAAGAATCTGTCGAGTTCTTACTCGCCTATGCAAGCTAACTTAATGCATATATGTCTATGGAATTAAGACTAACAAGAATGCATTTATATTTCCTGTATTTCAACCAAGCAAGGCAATTAGGTATATTTCTATCCTAATTGCGAATCCGTTCCCCGATGCCCGGGTTCAAGAACTTGCTCTATTGAATTTTATATGCAATCTAGAATTTTCACTTTCGAGTTCAACTCTAGATTCGTAGATACTATTTCACTGTTAGCTACTCAGCAAAATAATTAAAAATAGAATTAAATAAATAACCCAATATGATAAAATCAAACTCGTCAATTTAAACTTCAAACGTCAACATTCATGTAGCACCCATGACCCCAGAACAATAGGGTTTTTAGCCACTCATATTCATACAATCATCAAAACTAATATTTTCAAACATAAAATCAATGAATACTAGAAGAAGAATGGAAAATTGATCAAATTCGTGCTCCCGAGTGTTTCGTACTTTTGTTTCTCTCTCAAACTCACGTCTTCCTCCTCAAAATAGGTTTAGGTTGGCTTTTATATGAGTTGGGGGCATCTTGGGGTCGAAATAACCGAGTCCCGGTCGAAATAGCACATGTTCAAGTTTTGAGCGTCCAGGGCAACGTGGGGCACTGGCGCTCAACTTTTCAGCATTCTGTTTTGTGCGCCACAGGTAGCGCCCCACGCTGCATGTGGCGCTCAACTGGGCCATTTCGCCTTTTCTTCCAATTTTTACTCCAATTTGTGCACTTTCATCCCAAATCATATCTGAATGATTCCTACACATAGAAATATCACAAATTAGCACAAATCATTATATTATACATCCGAAATTTACGGGACATGAGCACAATGTGAGGTAATATACATCAAAATATGCATATATTAAGCCGAATATCAACACCCCACATTTAGACTCTTGCTCGTCCTTGAGCAATGGAATTATATTAATACCCCAAAACGTACCTATCACTATGAAAGATCACTTCACAATTAATTCAATCACACACTCTACATTTTGACTATGGTCGATATCGGCAATTAAGCATGTACACACGAATTTCACATTCTTCCCATTTTTTAAACTAGTCCAAGTATACACAATGCTATTCAACCAACTCAAGCAACCTCTCCACAACCACCCTACCTCAAAAGACGACTCGATACCACTAAGCATCCTCAAGTCATGCACTCACCCAACAAGAGAAGTGTACAACATCACCAATCCGTCATGAGACCAAGTGCCCTCACCACAAGCAAAATAGTGAATATAAAAGTAGCCCATACATTCAAATATGCCATTGAACATAAATTGAGGACATCACACAATTGAACAAAATTCACTCACTCTTACAGAATTCATGTGCATCCCGTGGTCGTACCATAAGCTTACCCGTAGTGTACATCTTTACTAATCTAAGTTAGCCAAATCTAGGATTAATTAGGACTTTAAGGTTGTAATGTAGGCTAAGGGACATGTATAATACATTTATGAATAGCGACTAACCCTCCTAAGCACTTTAATACACTACACTCAAACATCGAGCACATTTTCTTTTCAACCAATTCACTTGTCATACACCATATATAACATACCCATTTTTAATTAAGCACCTATATATTCCCACTAGCACGAATTCGAAGGATTGGGAAGTGTGTGTTTTTCTACATTATTTGAACTACTATTTTTTTTCTCTTTCTCCTTTTTTTCTTCTTTTCTCTACATACTCCATACATTAAGGTTCATCGGCTAGTGACCTTTTTATTTCTTCAAAATTTTAGTGCATCTTAAGGGCCCTTCCATGGTTCCACTCGAAAGTCACTCCTTAATCTAACCTTACTTCTTTTAGCGACTAAGTCCATTGGGATGTAAAGGTTCAACAAGCTCAAATTAAGAATAAAATAAGGATACAACTTGTAGAGTGAGTGCCAAAGAAAAGGTCTATAGGCTCAAAGGGGCTAGCAACGATTTTTTTTTTATTTGTGAGTGATAAATACCTCTATAGTCAACCAAGAAACACCTACGTCATCTCCTAGACTAGCGTTACTTAATGATTTCGCTTTGATTAACACACATGGCAAGTTCTAGACTACTCGAGATAGCACAGAATATCACCAATCCTTACACACACATAGCACATAAATCAATCAAGACGGTTCTGTTCGACTCTCAAGTCAAGCAAGCACAACGAGTTGAGAACTTTTAAGAAATGATGCACTAGGTGGCATACAAGTCAACCAACTGAGAACAAGGCATCAAAGAGTAGGCTACTTACTTTACTTGGGCATTACAATTCAAATCAAATATTTAGGAAGACAGATCGCATGCCATAGCTTAATATGCCAACACCAAACATGTCAATATGTACCTCAAAGCAGCTCAGTTTTCTCCCTATCCTACTCCTAAAAAAATTAAATAATAAAACAAACACACCCGGTTCGAGCTACACCCTTGGAAAAGAATCGGCGTCCAAAGAAAAACCAAGGGATACTACCTAACTATCATAAAAAGAATGAAATAAAATCTTTTTAGTATTTTTAATCGGATTTTAATCTCTCAAGAAAATTGTCCAACCGATCTATCGTCGGAAAAAGTCTGAGCTTTTTCTGATTTATTTTTCATTTTACTAGCTAATTAGACTATGTGAGTTCTAAACTAAGCTAACAAATAAAAAATAAAAACAATAACAATAAAAATCTTATACAATTACAAGTCAGGAAGTATTACCCCACCCCACACATAAACAATACATAGTCCCTGATGCATAACAAATTCAAAACAAAGTAAGGTGTAAAGAAAGAACTCCCTGCTAATTGGAGTCCGCCTCCTCAGGATGCCCACCAGCCGTGGCTATGGGCTCATCATCATCATCTGCTCCTAGGGGCACCAAAGCCATGGGCCCCGTGACTTTATTATCCATCTCATCCTCATCATCGGATCCTTTGTATGTGTTCTCGTCCTCAGATGGGTAAATAGGACTGCCCGGTGCAATGCCCAACATCTCCTTGGAAGAACTGGAGAGATCATTGCGCAACTGCATGCGCTCCTCATCCGAGACCCCTAGCCTGCACATTATCACATTGAGGGAACTATAAAGATTCCTGTTGAAGTTTTCATCCCTCTCATTCCTCGCAACCTGACTTAGCTTTGATGC